GCTTGCGGCTGCTGCCCGGGGCAAGGGCGGGCGAGGGCCCGGTGGGGCTCGGGGTGCGGCAGGCTGCCTTGACCTGCGGAGCTACCGACCCCGGGCGGCGGCAAGCGAAGAAATCGGTGACCCGGCTCTGCGCCATAGTGAGATCAGACTACGCGGGGTTTCGCGCGGTTTCGCGCCGTTTCGCGCAGTTTTCGCGCCGTTTCCTACCGGCTCCGCCCCATCCGGGACGCACCATCCGGAAGAACGCTGGGGGTAGAACTGGACGCTCGCGGCGCACGCGCCCTAGTGACCGGGTCCCGAAGCCAGCCGCACATGCGCCGACCTCGTCCTGCCCGGGCTGCACCATCAGGCCTAGCGCAGGAGGGGTGAGAAAAAAAAAAAAAAAAAAAAAAAAAAAAAAAAAAAGGATGCGGCAAGCGCATGCGCACTGACGTGCAGCAACCCGCACATGCGCCGAGGTGTTCAGTCCGGGCGGTCGGTGTGCAGCCTGGGGTGGGTGTGCACACCAGGCTGTTTGCCAGAGCGCGAATGCAGGCCGGGTAGCAGGAACGGGCCGGCGGCAGGTGTCCCTACCAGGAGAGACGAAGAAACTGCCTCCAGAACGGCGGACACTTAAACGACAAGGCTCCCAAATCCAGAGCTCGCCTGGCATGTGACTCAGGCCTCTGGCCTGGGCCCCTCGCCGGCCGCTCCGGGAGGAGGAGGGCAGGGCCGAAAGGGCTTCTGCTTCGGTCTCCACGTTTTCCTTAAAGATCATGAATTGCGGGGCTAGGGATTTAGCTCAGCGGCACAGCGCCTGCCTGGCAAGCGTGAGGTCGTGAGTTCCATTCCCTGTACCGGAAAAAAAAAAATCGTGAATTGTGCTTGTCCAAAACAAAAAGGGAACAGAAATGGCAGTTGCAAAATAACCTCAAGTGTGCGAAGCTTGGCGATTGATCAGCTGGGAGTGGGGGAGGAGAGGGCGTGGCCGCTCGGCGAAGGAGTCTGCAGACGGGACGGGGCGGGACGGGGCGGGGGTTGCGCTCAGCGGCCAAGGGCTTCCCTCGCACGTGAGAGGCCCTGGGTTCAGACCCCAGTCCCTGGAAAAACAAAACCAAAGGACAATAAGCAAAGTGTACGGGGCTGGGGATTTAGCTCAGCGGCACAGCGCCTGCCTGGCAAGTGCAAGGTCGTGAGTTCGGTTCCTGGTACCGGAAAAAAAAAACCAAAAACAAAAAAAAAGTGTAAGATTGAAATCAGCGCTTTTAAGGGCTACATCTTGTTAAAGTTTCGATGGGTATACTGTGTCACCACGTAAAGTGTGCTTCTTAAAACAGGACCTGCAGGTGTGCGGGAGCTTGAGAGCCCAGGTTGGAGCCCCAGCCCGGGCCCCCCGAAAAAAGAAAAAACGAGTTGGGAGCAGGAATTGACCAGGAACATACAGATTGTGGTGTGGTGGAAACGGCGCACATGGTGCCGGGTGAGGGCTGACTAGGTAAGACCGGAAGGTCCTTTAAGATTTGTACATTTCACTATGCAGCTTCATATAAACTCTAGTTATAAACAAATAGTGAGCTGCAATCGATGACATGTGTACAGAAGCACGTTTAGAAGAGACATTTGATGCTGAAATACATCAACTAAGATGGATGACTGGACGTGTTTGTGTGCGCCTGTTATTCTAGCGCTTGGAGGCTGAGGCAAGAGGATCACTGGGAGTTTGAGGCCAGCCTGGGCTACATCATGAGACCTTGTCTTGGAAAAACAAACAAAAAAGTTGGCTACACGTGACAAAAACACTTGCAGAATATTAATAATGATGTCTGAGTGGTATGAGTGCTTACCATGAAATACTTTCAATTTGTAAGTTTAAAATCTTCAATCAGTGTATTTCGCACTGTGAGTTGTGGCCAACCTGCAGCAAGACAGAGCCCAAGAGGTGCCTTTTGGGAAATGGGCAAAGGGCACAGCGCGTGTCGACCCACAGCGAGAGCCTGATGGGTCTGAGCGCACGTCCCCAGCGGTTGCCCGCGCAGGCCTGGGCTTGCTCTGCGGTTTGCTGCGATGTTTGCGCGTCTTCGGCTGTGGTATGACTGTTCTGTGTTATCCTAACTCAGATGGGAAAACTGGCTTTTCTCAAAGGTGGCAGAAAGTGATGTGAGGGTCATGGAGGAGCCCACTCCAAATGTAAACTAAAGAGGGAAAGCTGCTGGGCCTGGTGGTGCACACTATAATCCCAGCACTCTGGAGGCTGAGGCAGGATTCACCACAAGTTTGAAGCCAGCCTGGGCTCCATAATGAGTTCAAGACCAGTTTGAACTACATAATGAAACTCTGTCTCAAAAAAAAAGGATTGTAGGGCTATATTGGAGTGTATGTTACCAACACAGCTTCTCCATAGAGGACCACGGACATCTTTTGGCTGGGAGGCTGTTTTCTCTCCCAGTGACCTGGTGGCCCCCTACTCTTTGCTCCACATTTGTGAAATCAGGCAGAGACAGCCAGACCTAACCACAAGTAGCTGTTTAGTATCTGGCTCCTGGCCTCCACCGCTGGCCAGCCTCTGCCCTACAGAGATAAGCCCACCAGAGGCCTCGAGCATCCAGGACGCCAGCAGCTTCTCATTTCCCTCCCTCCAGCCAGAGCAGAGTGCTGCCCTGGGCTCCCACAGCTGTGCTGGTTGCTAGAGGCATGAAAGGACTTAGGCGCAGCACTGGCAGCCACTGCCTGCCCAATGCTCCTAGAACCCCGGAGGGAGCAAGAGGGGTGGGTGCTGTTGCTCTTGCAGCTATGGGCCCCAAGCAGCAGGATGCAGGGAGCCCTGAAGAGCTCAGGGTGAACTGGATCTGAGGACCATCCACAGGGGCCGGCAGAATCCAGAACACAAGAGCGATGTATCTGGCCTTCGGAGGGTGCAGGATTTGGAAGCACGGGAAGCTTGGGACTTAGGGCGTGGCTGACATTTGCTCCTCACTGTCAGTAAGCAGCAAGGGGCTACCTGGTGCAGCAGCAGGACCTCGGGACTGCTCAGCGCTCTGGGCCAGTGTCCGTCCTAGTGGCTCAGGGTGCGGCCATGCGAACTGCCAGTGTTTGTAGCATCTACCCTGGAGCTAAGGTCCTTTGGGGTCACTTCAGCCTTGGAGATGCCTCAAAAAGCTACCTTGTTCTGCTACAGTGGTGGAGTCCTGGGCCATTTTCTCAGTCACGGCTGACTGGACAAGAGGTGCATAGCAGAGCCAGTCAGGTGCTGTCCTGGCACCGGAGACCGGTGCAGCTTTGTACATCTCTGGGGTGGCCACCGCTACTTCTGTGGTGTGGAGAGACGGAGTAGCAGTGAACCTGTGGCCCCAGAGACAGAAATCACCAGTCCCAGTTGGGTTTTTTTTGGTTTTTTGTTTCGTTTT